CATAGAGGACACCTACTATAATTAGCCAATCAAATTTTAAGGATCGACAACCAATCAGATGGATATTCAACCATGCTGGAACTAGCTAGCATTCAAGTACATTTCTAATTTTAGAGATATGTTTCTGAGATCTTAATATTTTACAATATTACCATAAATTGGCATATTAAAAAGTCAGGTCAGTTACACCTTACATTTAAGGTAAACAGCCTAAATTTCTGAATTTAATTAATACGTAGAGATACTGTGGTTCACACGTGGGTCTAATTCGTGGGTCTAATTCGTAGGTCTAATTCGTGGGTCTAATTCATGGTGAGGTCTTCTATATAACCATTTATGGTAATTCATAAAATTTTGAACCTAGAATCCTGGAATGACAGTATTGTAATTGGGACTAATGACAAAATATGGACATAGTAATTTTTTAATTGGACATATAGAATTGTACTATGTCAAAATCTGCTCAAAAATATGGACATAGTTCAAATAACAACGCTGATATGTGAGGTTCAAGGACAATTTCGAATTCTAGAATTTTTAATATTTGATTTAGTTAAGCAGTTTCCGAAATCTCGAATTACTAAAGCTTTGAATCATGACATGTAATCACATGATAATCAAGTGGTAGAAGATTAAATATACTATAGCTTTGCTATATAATAGATACCGTAAACTCGGAAAACAAGCATCACATTCTCTACCTTACTTATTCCAATCTCGGATCAGTGGAGATAGTAATAAAACTTTACCTAAGTTACTCTCATCAATCTGTGATTGAAAAAGTAGGGTAGAGGATGTGGTGTAAAGTTGTTAATGGAGCGGCATATTCCAGAGCTACTCCGGGTTGAACCCAGCCTACATTGGAGCAGGTTTGAAGAACCCGGGTAGAATCTGGAGCAAGATTTAATTTAATGGAGTGGGTTGAAGATTGAATCAATCCAATCGAACCCAACGTAGTGCTTATTATTTATTTGTAAATTACAGCATATTTCAAAATAAAGTGTCATACTTTTAAACCTGAAATACCAAATTTACCAAAGTTGACTTTTAAGTTGGCTAAGTCAACTAATCTCTGATCCGCTTATAACACTAACTACCGTACAGAGTACCAGGATACGATATTTCCGCGTATTAGATAATTTTTCATATGAAAAATTTTTAAGGGGGGCACTTTGATATGGGAGCTATGTCCGCGCTGTACGGTAAAAATGATAAATCAATATAATCATAACCCAGGTATTACGTATTCAAGCAGACTGACAGAAATGATGAGAATGATGAGTAATACTTGGTCTTAACCCTGAGGGTATTATTTTTTGGGAGTATACTGTAAATAGTGGTCAATGATACATAAGCTGTTTTTGCGTACACCATTCGCGCTTATAGCGTGATGACAACTTAATTTTCTTATATTCGTCTGAAGGTCTATTTAGAGATGACCTTGCGCGAGATGATGAAACTATCGCACCGTGATTGCGTAAGATGACATCTCGTAATGAGATAAACTATTCAACTAAAAAATTTTAATGAAATCTTACCGTATGCTAGTGTGTTAAGCTCGCCATTAAATGATATGGATATATAAAACATATAAAAATATTCGATCTCTTATTTAATAATGAGTTTAAAAATTTATAGAAACGGAAATCTAATTAAATTGACGTCAAAGATCTAAAATCTAATAAGCATAAATGGCACAATATGCAATGGCTGTTCAACGTACATTTTAATATATCGATATAGACTCTTTATCAGATGAAACACGAAAAATCGCACTATATGACCTCGCACGAGATATGAAATGTATACTAGATTTATCTCACGACATGTACACCTCTAGGCACGATTTATATATTTATCACTAAAAGTTTGTGAAATGAAGTCCAAAGTTAAATACAAAATGATTTATGTATTTTATTAGGTCAATGACTTGAAGAGCTCAATGTTGATTTACAATATTCTTAGGAACAAATGATAAATGTAAGTAAAATTTATGTCCTTATACCTAGTGGAGCTAATAAGAAAAAAAACTATGCAATAAAAATTAAAAAAACGATTGAAGTCCATTTGATTCCTGATTCATTACAATTCTAACATTTCATTCTAATTCTAATACTTTAATGGTTCCTTGACTATTAGCGGCCAATAGAGTGCTAGAGCTTTTTTTCCAGCAAACAGAACTAACAAAAAGTGAAGGGTCAGTATCGAAAGCCTCTTCACCCTAAAACGGAAAGAAGCAAACGAAACATACAATTAATACAAATTTTATAACGAATATTATCTATCATAAGCGATAAAAAAAAATAAAAAATACCGTAACAGCATTAATGTTTCCAAATTTGTATTTGATGACCGGCTTGTCTAAATTTTTATAATAAACGTAGATACAATTATCTTCACTACCGCAACCAATCCAATCTGAAGAAACGCTTAGACCAACGAAATTCTTTTCATTCGTATGGCCAGTATATGTTCGGGCACAGGTTTGAGATTCAATATCCCACAGTTTAAGTGTGCTATCGGTTGAACTATTTGCGAGAATAAAGTATCAAATAAAAGATCATTTACACACATACTAGTATAAAAAGTTCAATAAAAGAGTCCTTACGCCGAAACTAATTCATTTCTACCAATAAATTTTACATAAGACACAGCTTTACGATGTCCCCTATAGATGAAAATGGGCTGGCGATTATAACGAAGATCATAATAATGTATGTGATGATCTGTCAAATGGGAATGAATATATGTTTAAAATATTTAAATTTTGTTTCATTTTTATGAGTAAATGAAAACTCACCGGCGCTTCCAAACGCCACCTGATGTGGAATTTCAGGATTAAATTTTACGCAGCATACATTAGCTTGGCTTTCTAGAGTATATATAGAATTTCTTTGGTTTGTGGACCAAATTTTGACTAAAAAAGTTGAGATATTTTGTAATTCAATAATATAATTACATGAGAGAAATTTGCTAGGAATGACAATTATCAAACCTTTTGCGTCATCACTGCCACTTGCTAGTTTTGTGGGATCCATTTTTCCAAAGTCAACACTCCATGCACGTTTTTCATGTTCATCAAAGGTCATCATCAAGTTTCCAGTAAGAACGTCCCACA